AAACTCTATCTAATTTCTCTTTAGCTTCAACTTTGCTTAGTTGACAACAGTGCTTTTACTTGCTAGTTATTGTGTTTGCTATAGCTTTCTTTCTGTTCTGATTTTGGTTATGAAGATCAGCGGAAAGAGTTTTTTTTGTTTTTTTTTATATCTGAATATTAAATTAAAGCATATTATAATTAGTCTCATAATCAAAAAATTGAACCATATTTGACTTTATAATCAAACATTAAATAATATCTGAATATTAAATTAAAGTGCATTATAATTAGTTTTATAATCAAAAAATCAAACCACATTCGACTTTATAATCAAGCATTGAATTATATCTGAATATAAAATTGAACCACATTTGATTTTATAATCAAGCATTGAATAATATCTAAATATTAAATTAAAATATATTATAATTAGTTTTATAATTAAAAAATTGAACCATATTTAACTTCATAATCAAGCATTGAATTATATCTGAATATTAAATTAAAGTGCATTATAATTAGTCTTATAATTAATAATTAAACTATATTCGACTTCATAATCAAGTATCAAATCATATTTAATATTAAATTAAAGTGCATATTAAACCATATCTGAGTATTAATCAATAATTGAACTATATTTGACTTCATAATCAAGCATTGAATAATATTTAATATTAAATTAAAGTGTATATTTGACTTCATAAGCAAACATTGAGCCACATCTAAGTATTAAACTACATTCAACTTTATAATAAAGTATTAAATTAAAGCATATCATAATTAGCCTTATAATAAAACTCATGTCATATTTAATTTTATAATTAAAATATCAAATTAAAATATATTGTAATTAGCTTTACAATAAAAAATTAAATTATATTCAACTTTACAATAAAGTATCAAATTAAAATATATCATAATCAGCTTTAAAATAACAAATTGAACTATACTTGACTTATAATAAAGTATCAAATTAAATTATATTATAATTAGCTTTATAATAAAAATTAAACCACATTCAACTTATAATAAAGTACCAATTTAAAACATATTATAGTGAAGAATAATATAAAATAATTTTTTTTTATAAATATGTGCTAATTTTCACAAAAAAACAACTTGTTGCTTGCAATAGTAACTTATTAATTTATAATTTACTAAAAATGTCTTGAAAACAAAATGCAAAAGATATTTTAAAAACTATTAATCAAGATTCATCTTATCAATCTAATCCTTTTATTTCAACTACTCAACTATTATCTACTTTGATTTATAGAACACATATGAGTATTAAATGCTATTACAAGAAATGTAATAACAAACTTGTTGACCCTCATACAAAACATTAATATTTTTTAACTACTGGCTAATAAAAACAACAATTGTTTTAAATAGAATTAAATGAGTTAAAGCAACCAACCTAGATAGCTTCAAAATTAAGTAGTCTAAGTCAGCAATTAGTAACAATTAATTTATATTCAGATAATAAAATTCTATCTAGTTATGCTAATGAACTTCTATCTAGCCTTAATATAGATAACCTATCATTTTTATCAAAAAAATGTCATAAAATATCAAGGGCTAAAATGACTATTTTAATACAGAAAAATTAGTTATTACTTTAGAAGATGAAAGCAGTAATAATAAGATTATGCTAAATTACAATAATAGTGATTATAATGATTTATTATCTAAAAAATTAACTGAAAGCATTTGATATAGCCATATTGATAAATTTGAAGATTATTTATCACAAATATTGATTATGAAGAATTTTGATCTAGCTCTATAGCAGTGTCTGAAATTCAATTTTTTATTTTATTGCACTTTGCAACTAATTAAATAATTTTATTTGTGGTATTTAAAAATAAATATTTTTTCTGCATTAAAATATTTTATATATTTGCAAAAATAAAAAAGTAGTTGTGCAATATTAAAAATTAATTGTAGGTTGCTTATTAGCAAAAAAAGCAATATATATATATATATTTTATAATGCTATATTAGGAATAAGACAAAACAAATAAAAAATAAAGTATAGAATATGTTTTATATATTGTATAATTTGCTTTAATAATACTAAATAATTGTAATAATAAATTTAATAAAAAAAGTTTATTTAATTTGAATTACAAATTTAAAACTGTCTAGAATACCTTTGCCAAATATCATATGCTTTTTCAAAATTAAAATTTTCTAATTTTGGTCTATTCATAACTATCATAATATGAGAATTAAGAGTTTTTAATTTCATTTGATTATACACTTTTATTTTTATAAGGTTTTGTTGAGAAAAAATTCTTTCAACATAACCATTTGAAAGTGGAATGATTAATGAAAAAATACTATTTCAGTTATATTTGGATAAAGTATAAGAAATTTAGAACTATCAAAAATTCGTTTCCATCCTTCAACAAAATCTAATTCTTTATAATTTTTTAAAACTAATTTTACTTCTCGCCATTCTTTAAGAAGTTCTATTCTATATACTTTTGCTTAAAAGCTTATATTATTATATAGTTTAAATTTTCATAAAATTCACCTAAAAGTTGAATTTCATTTTCTTCAAATATTATCATTTCTCAAGAATTTGTTGAAATTTGTGAAAAATCAAAAATTCGCATAGCATTATAAATACCAACATTGGGAAATCTTTGACAAAGATTTTTAATAAATGATATTGCAAATTCTTTAAATACTGAAGGTAATTCATCATATTCTATAGTATCACCTATATATTCTCATAAGTAATATCCACAAGTTGGTGCAATATCTTTATCTTCATATCCAATAAATTCTAATATAATTGACTCAATAACTATATTTAATTGCATATATACATCTGATAATGAAACATAATCTGATTAAAATATTTTTATAAGTTTACTAATTATTGAAAGAATATCAGCAAGGTATTTGGTTGCTAATATAAATTCCGAATCAATATCATTATATAAAGTATTAGCTCGTTGTCTAGTTTTTATACAAAAATCATTAAGAGCTTTATTATAAAGAGCATCTTTTATAGAAAAGATTATTTGATGCAAATTAGAAACTGCATTAGAAAGTGATAACCATCGAGTACTAATAACATGTAATATAGCTAATTGAGGATCCTCATTATCTAATGATTGAAATAATTTAAGATGCTGCTATTTTTGATATGATGCTGAAAAAAAGTTATAAATTTCCTTTAATATAACTTCATAATTCTTAAAATATAGAACTTCATCAGCTGAATCTTTGCCAACTAAGTTCAATCTATGAGCAATACAATGACAATTTGTCATAAATGGATTAATTTCTTTTAGTCATGTAGCTACATCAGTTCTATTTCCTATATATATAAATCATTAAAATTAAACTATAATAAAAATAAATATGTATAAATAACTAATAGATATTTATATATACCAATCATAACACTAGCACCATTACTACCAAAATGCATTAATTTTTGTGTATCAAGCATTTTAGCGATAAAAAATTTTTGCAAATTATTTACTATAGTTTCTGCATTTGTTTCATCTAATTCAATTAATCCTAAATACCGAAGTACTGACATATTTTTAACAATATGCTTACTAACTATAGTACATGTTTTTTCATATGTAATCATATTACTCTCATCAATTAATATACTTCAAGATGGAGATCTTTGAACTTCTGCTAAAATATTTTCTTCAATTACTGTTGCAATAGCATGTAAAAAATCAGCTCCAGCTTTTGAATTATTATATGTTGCATAATTTGATAATTGATTAAATTCAGACATAGTATCTAAAGAAGCTTTTTTAGGACCAAAGATAGGAGGTGCAACTGTAATTGAAGGTTTGTTATATACTAACTCAGTTTTATTTTGAGCTTGTAAATTTGTTAACTCAATTAAATTGGGATATGCTTCAATTGCAAGATGCTTTTTTGCACATAAATATACACAATGCATTTTAGCAATAATATCCAATTTATTAACTTCTGTTTGTACTATAAAACTACTTATTATGTCTAACTGAGCAGATTGACATCTTGTATATTTTTACATAGCTTTTTGGTGTTCCTTAATTCCAATATGCTTATCTAAATAATCCTTTTTAAATTTTTTTGTATCAACAACAAAATGCTAGTAGAATGCTGATTGAATTCAGTGCACCAAATACAATATAATTCAGGAATGTCTTGATTATCAAGTTAACGATCAACCTATGGATACTCTTTAATCCATCTTGGATCCCAATCTGACCGTGTATGTGTTTTATCATAACTTTTTTCTTTAGATGATTGTTTTATAAAATCTTAATTATCATTTAAATTTAGTTCAGAGGGCTCAGTTGGACAAAAATATTTATTAAGTGTATTTGAAAAATTGCTCATTGTTTAATATTGATAAAAAATAAATCTTTAGCAAAAAAAAATAAACCATATGTATACTCTTTATATATTATCATTATCTTAATTATTAAAAATAATTGTACTTCGCTTCATTAAATTAATAATATAAATAAAGAAATTGATTAAAGCCAGATAATATAAAATACTATTTAGTCTTATCTTTAAACTGGTTTGTAATTAAGTATCATATAAATTATTATATTTTAATTTACAATTGCAAAATCTACAATTATTATTAAATCAGAAATTTATATGTGTAAAAAGTAGTTAGGCCATTTCGCACAAATCTGTGCTGTTTCAAGGCCTGAAACATATTTTATGAACAAGTATAGAGAATACATTGTAAAAAAATTGTATATATTGTTTAATAAGGTTTGAGTCTGTAACTATTTGATCAGAAAGTTTGATGTTAGAAAAGTAAATAGAAGCTTTATAGTGATTAAAAATGCTATTAATAACATGTTTAGAATATGTAAAAAGTGTTTCACATTTTTTTCAGTAGCTTGTTGAATTTGTTATTGAAGTAAAAAAGAACTCCAAGATTATTTGTATGATTTAATATGTATCCTATTATGAATTAAAGCATAATTATGTTTTGTCTAGCTTGTCAACAAAGTGACAAGGCTAGCATTATTGCAAGATAAAAGAATCTCATATCATATGCAAAATGGAAAATGTATCCTTTTATGACCAGTACTGTAATACAGGTTTGGGGCATGTTCAATGAGTTTAGTAAGAATAGAAGGTATTAAGTTTACGTACAAGGGGTTAGCTATAAGGAGTTTTTAATGAAACAGCATGTGAAGGATGAATGCTTCCATGTGAAGTTTATATGTATAAGCAGGTAGAAGGTTAAGGCTATACTAGTTATGCAGTAAGTATTTAAAGTTATGAGTGAGTGTAAGAAGCATTAGTTTCAGTTTCACTATTGCCTGCCTTATAGTACTAGGCTGGCTCTTTCGACCCTTCCATGCCCCTCCTATCAATAAATTAATTACGCAGCTCAATGATCATTTGATGCAAAGACTGCATGAATCTTTCAAAGTGGCTCAATGACTAACCTTTTAGTGCAATGACTACAGAGTTCCTATAATCTAAGTAAATTGGCAGGGACCTATTAAATTAATGTATACTATTTATTTTCCCGATTCTCTTTCAATGCTATGTTTATACTACTAATAATTCTCTTTATGGGGTAAGAAAATACTATAGTGCGAATACTATTGTATATAGTCGATGTTGATAGCGAGCCTTAATCCTATATGTATATTCCTGTTTTTTGATCAAGCAATAATAATTTGATGCCTTATTAAATACAAGTTTTGGACCAGATTGGCATATGAAAGATTGAAATTAACTTATCAATAAGTTATAATAAAATAATAATAGACAACTAGAGGTAACAGCAGTAAGTATACATCTTGCATATGAATTGCGGATAAAAAAATAAAAAATATAATTAGTTGTAGAGTAATTTATTTAAAATTGATATTGTATATGGGAATTGTTTATCTTTTGGTTTGCCATTACTACTAATTCTACCTTGAAAAGTAAAGCAACGCTAAGAAATATATAGCTACATAAGGGCTATTTGGGTAAGTATATTATTTACTTCTAATATAACAAAGCCCCCTTATTAGTTTTATTTTCTCTTCACTTTTATACATATTTTTTGCTTTAATTAGTTACATCATATTTCATTCATGCTATTTTGACTTTTAATTGCCCTATTGATTACGCCAATTTGATTAGCCACTATTTACTATATTTTTAATTGCCCTATTGGTTACGCCAATTTGATTACCCACTAATTACTATATTTTTTATATATTGTTATAAACTCTGACAAACTTCTATAACCAACTACTATGTTACAACTAATTAGCATCCAATCCGATCAATTATCATATGAGGCACGTGAACCACATGATGATTTGAACTAATCCTAGTCCTTCATTTAATTATTAAATATATTTATAGCTAGTCCTATATAAATAGGTTCTGCAACTATATTAGCAGTACAAGGATTTAGAAACTTAAAACTTATGGTTATTGTAAACGTGTTATAAATTCAAAAAAATTTTATTGGTGCTGATATATGCGCAAATTTAAGAGTATAGTTAATTTGATCCTAATAGAGATAATAGACATGTTTTCAGTTTGATTAATAAAGTTTCATTTTGATCAAGCAATAATAATTATAAACTCCTGCAAGTAAGTTAAATATTTTGCTTGCGGAATATATATAATTTAAAATAATATGCGGAAACTTGCAGAAATTTAAAAAATTTACTTTCAATTCCTAGATATACATATCAAGTTTTATTTGCAAAAATTTAAAATTTGTTGCAGTTCACAGATTCTGCAACCCAATTTCAGACACTGATTAGCAATACAAAATCAGTATCTAAGAGATACTATTAATAAACTAATTTTGCTTTATTCTTTTGTAAGAATTAAAAGTCAACTTGAAAAAATATATATGCATCCTAATTTTAAACAATTTTGTTAAAAATGAACTCATCACACTGTTTCTGAAAGTATATTTTTTAATATTTATAATGGTCAAATTTGGAAAGAATTTACTAATAAGAAGTTAATTAGTGGCCAATTTTTTACAAAAGAATTGACAGACATTCATCTTAGCTTTATATTAAATTTGAACTAATTTCAGCTATTTGATGGAACTTAGTATACTATTGGTATAATCTATATGGCTATTTCTAACTTGCCAAGAAAACTTCAATTTAAAACTGCACATATAATGATTTTTGGCATTTTACTAGGTTCAAATAAAGTTCATCTACACTATATCAATCATTATCTTGCACTAATTGTTAATGAACTATGCTGATTTTGGAATGGTGTTCAATTTTAACTTTTAAGAACCTATCTGGTAAGATAATCTAAGCAGTATTAATTTTATGCTTATATGATATACCTGCAGCTCAAAAGCTTTGTGGTTATATCTCAACATTAGTAGTCTGTTATTATTGTAAAAAGAAGGCATAATTTGAAGATAGACATTACTATTTTGGAGGCATAAATAATATTAATACATGGTTTATTGAACATGTCTTAGCCCAACATTGACAAGATGCTAAACAATAATGAAGGTGCTTTACTAAATTAGATAGAAAGCTGCACAAAAAACTTATAAGTGTTTAGTGGTCTGAGTTACTTTGATTGTCATATTTTAATTTAATCAGTTTTTGGCTATTAACCTAATGCATTGCTTATTTTTAAGCATTGCAAAATAAATTGTAAAACAATTATAGGTTGATCAGAAAAAATTAAATACAAGCCAATTAAAACAAATCAAAAAAAAAATGTCAGAAATCTAGATCTCATCTGATATTGACTAAATTCCAAGAAAGATAGACTGTAATAAGAGATTTGCTAACTTTATAGCTGATAAATATAAAACATTTATCTTAATATATGCAACACTCTGTCTGTGAAATTATCTTTCAACATCAGATCAAAGAATTCTTACAACTTTTGTACATATTTGTACAATTTTAGTCTGTTAAATTATTAATATAACTATGCTAGAAAAAGTATATAATTAGTTTATTTTTCTTATTAAGCAAATTGAAAAAGAATATAGTAAAAAATAAATTACCCAAATCTTTATCTAGCACTTTATATTAATCAATGCTGCCTTGACTATGGACCACTTTATGCATTCTGATGCTTTTCAATTGATCAAATAAATGGTTATCTTGATTCATTTCCAAATAGCCATCGACAAATTAAACTAGAATTAATATGCTAACTTATGTAAGACTCTATAATTAATGATCTAATTAATCAAACAGATACTATAAAATGGCTTAATTTGCTTTTAGCAAAAAAATAGCTAGAAGCTTAGCAGCAACAGACCAGTTTGAAACTGATGAGTTACAAAGGTTTCTCCAAATATCAAAGAGTATTAAAACAAGTCAGTTAGTGTATTGAAGATTTCTAAAGAATTTTTGATTCTTTTAAAAATTTATATAATGATATTTGATAAAATATTAAACCTATTATTGAAATTTTATTTGGCAGCCTATCCTTAATATTCATTTCAGATATCATTTAGTAGTAATAGAGATAAAAATTCAATAATAATTAATCCATTTGCAGATCAATTTGGCCATCTGTAATTAGTTTAGAAATATTTGGATCAATTACATTAATTCAACATATAAGAAACTCCTTTATGATAGCAAATTTTATTAATTAAAATAGAGTTTCTTATAATACATATATTGGCCAAATATAATATTTTATTTAACATATATTTAATATTAATAATAATGAATTCAAACATTATTTAGCATTTGTGTGCTAGTATAAATCTGCATCTAATAGTTCTACAAGGTTCTATTTCGGAATGAATAAGAAAGAAAAATGATTATATAATATTGAACTTTGGACTAAAGACTTTTTTTCAATTAGTTGTGATTGTTTAATACCAGTTCATTAAATTTTGACTCAATTTGTATCTGAACCTTATAAACTAGTACACAAAAAAGGTTTTAAAAAATATATTTCTATTATATCAATTAATAG